CCCCAAAACCCCAAAACCCCAAAACCCCAAAACCCCTTAGTTTAAGTTAAAATAGAATTATGAATAATTAGATTATCATATTTACAATTAAGTCTACTAAAGAACTCGAGTTACAATGTTATCATGCAGCATCGATAAATTAAGCTTTAAAATTGTGGAAGAAAACATATATTCAGTCAAAGTCTAAAATGTTTGTAGATAGTTAGCCATATTGATAATTACCTTTACCCTAGTTGTCATTTAAACCACCACCGTAATTGTACTATTATTTCTTGGGAGCATTTGAAAAGAGTGTGCCATCTTCAAGAAAAGCATGAAGCTCATCAAGGTCAATCTTATTATTTTTATGATCTATTGATAAATCCTCAACAACAGCATCTTATTGATTTAATGGAGTTATCCAACCTTAATTAGTGGTGTTTGGGGAAGGCTTGATATTGAAATCATAAGGTCCTAGTTCTTAAATAATTTATTCTTGCAATGCTGGCTTCTTCTTTTCTTGATATTAGACTGTTTTAACTTAAACTATTGGTTCTAATTTAGGATTAATATTTCCTCTAGTTGGTTCAGCACCACCTTTCTTCTTCTTTTTTACTGTATATTCTGTTACATTTGGCTAGGGAGGGGTCTATTTTTCTTCCTTTTTAAATACAGTATATTGAGAGGTATCAGATTTAATTTAACCTTTCGAATCCCATTCGACTCCGAAGTTCCTATTAGCTATTGGTTTAAGAGGATGGACTATATCCTTAAGTTTTTAAGACTGCTGTTCTAACTGATTCAGAAAATCTGGGGAGTTATCAGACTAATCATACAATTCACTTTGCATAATAATTTGATTGATCTTATCCTCTTCTTCCTATCTCTTAGCTTATTCTATAGCGAAGTCGTTCTCAGATTCTTGCAACATCTTTTACAGTTAATCATCTAATATGTCTTAATTGTCCTAGTAATTTTATTAAATAGCCTTCTCGATGTCATTATCTGATTAATTTAAAGGTATATTGACTTCAGGAGGAACATTTAGCATTTCATTTCCAAATTCTGATTTTTTGGAATTTAATGGAATGAAACTTTGTAAAGGATTTTCAAGGTCATCTTGAGGTAGTTGATACTAATTATTTAGCTAAGATTGAGGCTCGGGATTTGGTAAAACTACTTTCTTGACATCGTGGCTTTCCTTAATTTGTAATGGTTCATTGCCAAGTGAAGGAATATTGTCAATTATAAAAGGTTTTGAAATGATTTATTATTCTACCTGCAGTTCAAATACGCGACTCTCACTTGCAGGTTATTTAATATGGTAGATTTACTCCCCTTATAGCTTGCTTGTCTCGGAGGGGAAGTTTGCTTGAGAATTAATGATCTCAACTTTCTCCTCTTGTTATTGTATTTTTGATCGACTTCGTTTTTATTTATTAAAAATACAACCCATTTTTCACTGTTAAGATTTTAAAATGGAATATTTAAGTTTCGAAATCACTTAAACTTTAAAGCAAAAGTAAATGAAATATCAGACACTGGGGTTTTGGGGTTTTGGGGTTTTGGGGTTTTGGGGTTTTGGGG